AGCGCCTCGCTCCGTGGCGTGCAGACGGCGCCATCGTGTGGCTGTGGAGGGCACTGCAGCCTCCCCTGCCCATCGCTCCTCCTTCCAGCCCCACCCACGAGGGTCAGGCGGACGGTTCAATCAGTGGCCAGTGGCCAGTGGCCGGTGGTGGAATTTATGGGGCCTGTGTAGTGAAACTTGCATTAAAAACCAAAACGGGACCCTCCCTGGTGGCGCAGGGGGTCAGAGCGCAGCACTAAGAAGCTAAAGCCACTTGGGCATGAGTTCGATCCCGGCCCCGGGAAGGTGAAGATGACCACAGACCTCTCCCGACCGCCCGCTGCCCCCTCCGCATTGTGCTTCGTCAGTTGGCCTCTTCTGCTCCCCGCTCTGTCTCCTCTCACTGCCCCTGCACCTCGGCACTGGGGAGGGCCCCCCTCCCCATATCTCCCTGTGTGTCTTCCCGGGACTGTTTCTGAATTATATAAGACACTGGTAATCCAGTTTTGAAAAACAAAAATTACAAAAATGTCTCCCAACTATAAAGATTGAAGTTTCATAAATAAGAAATGTACAGACAGTTCTCAAATTCAGCCAGCGCCTTACTCAGGCGCCTCAGTTTAAGATATTTGGCGTCGGGACTCAAGATACAGATTCTCTTCAAGAGAGCCAGTGGGAGGGAGCGAGCTCCTCCGCTCGGCTGCAGACACCCCTGGACCTCACAGACTCACCGCCCTGGGCACAGGCCGCCGGCTCCGCGCCTGGCCTGGCTGGCTCAGGAGATTTCTCTGGACCGACATCGCCCCCCAGCCCGAGCAGCTAGGCCCGGCGAGGGGCTGCTCCTGCCCCGCCACACCCCCCCAACCCCGTTCTCCTGGGGACACAGGGCTCCTTTGCAGGGAGAACAAGGTGGACGTTGGGCGCCGAGCTCTGCGGACCTTGGGCAAACTGAGCTACTCAGCACCAGGCTCTAACTCACAGGGATCCCCCCGCCTCCAAGGAGGGTACCCCCGGGGGGACCCCAGCCCAGGCCCAGGGCGGGAATGGGGTGCACGTGGCCTTACATGCTTAGCGCTTCGCTGCAGCGCTTGCCCTGGGGCTGCTTTAACTGCTTACTGACCAGAACCGACCCGTGAGGTGGCCGCCACTGCCACCCCAGCTTTACAGATGAGAACCCGACTGAGGGGCAGAGCGGGCCTGAGCCGGGCAGCTACGAGCAGGAAGTGCCCCACGGCCAGGCCGGCAGGCAGGCCCCGGCACTGGCCCCAGGCTGTGACGGCCGCCTGGAGGTGCCCAGCGCGCAGGGTCGCTTCCTCGGCTCAGGGATCACTCTTGGGGTGTGTCTGAAGTCTGAGTGGGAGGAGGGGTGCTGGGCAGAGAAAGGCGCTACGGACCTGAGGGAGCTGGGGCGTCACTTGATTCTCGGACAGAGGCCACGCGGGTGAGCAGCAGGGGAGGAAGTGTGCTGAGGGGGGCAGCGGGGCCCAGGGGAGCAGCGGGGCCCACGGGGCTCATCCCCACGGCCTGGGGCTTACAGAGTCGCAAGCGTGACGTGGCCCTGTCAGATGGCCAGTGGCTTGGAGCGGCCAGGTCCAGAGGCAGGCCAAGTAGGAGCCGCTCCCCGTGCCCAGGCCACGCCCCCGCCGAGGGCAGGGACGGATGCGTGCAGGTGCAGGCCTTTGCATTTGCCGGTGTTTGCGCTCGCCTCCACTGGCCCGAGACAGCCCGTCCCTTCAGGGTGGCGAATCCGGCCCTGCCCCGTGTGGGTCGGCCTCCTCTCCAGTCAGGGCTGCCCGGGAAAGCGGGCGGGAGCCCCCGAGACGCCGCCGACTCCTCTGCACCTGCAGCTGCCCTGTCTCGGAAGCGCTCTCGCCTTCCCCCTGGCCAGCGCATTCATCGTCCAAAGCCCCTCTCAGGAGCCACGTCCTGACTTAGCAGCATGGGTGGGTGGCGCACCTCAGAGTGGACGCCTGGCGGGACGTGCTGTGCTTGCAGGGTCAGCGTGGCCGCTGGGGGCTCCCCCGGCCGCTGCCGCCCGCGTTTCGCTTCTCAAACTCTAGCCCGCCCTCCTGGGGACCTTGCTGAACACAGACCCAGGCTCAGTGGGTGGGGCGGGGAGAACCTGCGTCCTCACGAGATCCGGGAGATGCCGGTCAGCGCCGAGGTGAACAGCAAGGCTACTGCGTGCTCCGTCGTCATGGAAAAGAAACAACGGCGACTGTTTGTTCTGCACCGAACTCTCCATCGAGGCGAAACTCATGCGATGGAAAGCACAGGATCTGAGAGGCAGCTCACTGGGTTCTGGCAAATGTCTACACCCCTCCGTCGAGGAGACCCACAACATTCCAGCAAGTTCCCTGTTCCCCTTTCCATTTACCTCTCCAAGTAAAAGTGCTCCCACAGGCACCAACACAGTGCCCGCAGGACACAGTGCCCGCAGGAGCTATTAGCTCAGGTTCTTTGTTCATTTTCCAGTCACACCCCACACGCCCGGTCCTGTGCTCTGCGCAGGTGAGCATCCTGGCAGCCTGCGCAGGGAGCCAGCTCCCATAATCCATGACCCGGGAAACAGGGAGGCACCCGGCGGGGTGTCCGGGAGCAGCGAGCTCTGGGAGGCAGGCGGGCAGCGGCAGCGCGCACCGCGACGCCTGCCCCCCACGCACTGCGGTCGCCCGCAGACTCCTCCGGCCTGCAAAGACCCCGGGCGCGGGCACCGCCCTTCCCGTCACGGTCACAGCTACGAGGACTGGGGCCTGGGGTGTCTCCTCGGTCACCCAGCACTTCAGCTCAAGGCCAGACTTGAGCTCCCCGCTGGGGGCGGGACGGCAGGCTGCTCTGCCCCGGGAGCCCCGGCACCAGCCCTGGGGAGTCCGGGCCGCCCGGGGAGGTGACTCACAGGTGCTGCGCTGCCCGGGGGGCTCAGGGGGCTGTTCTAACTGCCGCCGCCCACGCTTGTGTTTCAGCGCGAGGTGCCCCGCTCCTGCACCATGAAAGTCCTGCTGTGTGGCCTCCTGCTGCTCAGCCTCTTCTCCAGCGCGTCCAGCAGCTGCCAGGGGGACTGTCTGACCTGCCGGGAGAAGCTCCGCCCAGCCCTGGACAGCTTCAACCTGGAGGTAGGCCCAGGCGCCCTGCCCGCCGCCGTCCTCCTCCTCCAGAGCCCACCGGGTGGACGCTGGCTGCCCCTGCCCTGGCGGGGAGGAAGCGGGTGTGAACTTGAGCACCTGAGCCCAGGCCCGACCTCTCCCCACCGGGCCACTTCAGAGACAGGCTGCGAGTCGCCCAGTGGCCCCCATCATTCAGACCATGTCCTCAGTCAGAGGAGTTGGCAAATGCACGAAAAACACCATTCCACTTTGAATTCCCAGTCAGAGAAAGAGTCTAGCTTTTTTATGCCAGGATACCTTTCCCATGTCACTGTGCGCTGCACGCAGCAGTGGTTTCCGTTATTCTCTCCAGAATCAGTACCCTCTGCTTTACCAGGCCGAGGGGCGCGTCCCCCGGCACAGACTGTTCTCCCGCAGGCTTTGCTGCCTCGCGGCGCTCTTGAGCTTGAGGTCACGTGTGACGTTGGGTTTCTTTGCGGAGAGTAGCTATCCCCGCTGCTCTCCACCCAGCCTCGCAGTCAGCCCACCCCGGGTCCTTCCCTAAGGAAGGACCAGCCCACAGTGCTGCCTCTGGGCCTCTTGGCTGGGCCTCGGGTGAAGGAGCCCGGCCCCAAACTCGCCCTCTGAAGATCACCAGACTCCTGCCCCCGGCCAGTGCCCAGCTGCAGGAAGCAAGCGCTCCTGTCGGGGTCACACCTGGGGACCCTCAGCCGTGGCCCGCGGGCCCAAGGGCGCCTGGGCAGTGATAACAGCCCGCCCTGAAGGGCGTCGCCCACAGCTCCCACGCGCAGTCCCAGCCTCCCCCGCTCCGCAGCCTCGTGGGTTTCACCGAGCAGGGGCTGCGGGGAGCAGGCGATGCCGTCGCCACTCGGGGGGCCTCACGATCCCCCCAGGAGCGTCCCTGGGCACTGGAGAACCCCAGCCTCGTCCAGAGAAGAGGGGCCTGGGGGAAGCTGAAGTCTGTAGGAGACCAAAGCAGGTGTGGGTGTGAGGAGGCAGGGGTCCCCCTGTGGGGGGAGGGGCACACAGGCAGATGCAGGAAGGGGGTGATGGCGGAGCTGGGTTGCCAGGAGACACGTGCGCGTCTGCGCAGCAGCCCAGAGCAGTCCGAGGGCACCTCCTGACTGCGAGGGGCGGGGGGAGGTCTCACATCACCCACAATCACCCCACAGTCTGGCGCTGGCGTTGCAGCCTGACCGAGGGCCACCGCAACCCCTTCCAGCCTCAACGGCCAAGGGCTGGGGCAGACAGGCCCGCGCCCGCTCCCAGCCGCTCCTCACAGCCACCAGGAGGGGGCGACACCCAAGGGCCCATGGGTCCCTGCAGGGGCTCTTTCAGCCTCCAAAAGGGGGGAGATCCTGACATCCACTTGAACCTGCACAGTGGACATTACCCTAAGTGACCACGCCCAGAGAGAAAGCATGGACGGAAAGCAGGCCGGCCGGCCGGCCCGGGCAGGAGGGCCGGGGCTCGAGTTTTAGGGAACAGCCTCAGCTGTGGAGGACGAAGGAGGTCCGCGGTGGGATGGGGCTGCCGCGGCGGCCGGACCTTCACAGTGATTAAAAAGGCGGATTTTGCGTTTTCGTGTTTTACATGGAAGGAGCGTTAGGAACTCAACTGTGAGAACAACCCTGGGCCTGGGCTCACGGGCTTCTTTGTGATGCAGCCATTCTTGGGCTCCGGGGTCTCTCTGTGACAAGACATCACACCCGACGGTGACGCACTGATGACTTCCCTCCCGCTGCACCTGAGAGACAGAGGCCACCGCGCACCAATTCCCTCCCGGCCCCCCTCATCAGCTGGACGCCACCCCCACCCCCGCCCCCGAGGGCGCCCCTGGCCTTCCTCCTCCTTCCTCTGACCACTGGCTGCCCTGGGCAGGCCCCTTCTCCCCTCCGTCTGTCCTCCCCTTGGCTGTCACCCTTCTCGATGGAGCGATCCACCCTTGCAACCTTGACCCCGTTCAAAACAGGGCTGCTCCCCGGGGCTCAGGCCCGGCCCCAGCATCTCAGGCTGATTTGCAGGCTTCCTCCTCCCAGCCTCTCGGAGGACTTGCCTGGTCCTCCCCGCTCTGAACCTTCGTTTCCTGCCCCGACACACTGGGCTCCCATTCCTCGCCCTGCCCCGGCCATGAGTGCCCGCCACGAGAATGGCCTCTCCCCTGCATGCACTGTCTCCCCCAGACCCACCCGGCACCCACGGCTTCCTGCTCTGCCCAGGCTGCGGCCTGAGCCCTGCCTGCGGCCTGAGCCCTGCCTGCCAGGCTCCGACCTGCGGCAGTTTCTGAAGTCCCGGCTCCCAGGCCCTCTGCTGCAGGGAGCCTCCCGGTGGCCGGTGCCCGCGCCTCCTGCCGCCTCACCCAGAAAACCCTCCGCACACTGCAAACCCAGACTAGGTGGAGCCCTGCAGGAGACCGGGTGGCTCGGCCGCGGGCTGGGCCGGCAGGGCTCGTGCCGGTCTCCCTCCCTGAGCCCGGCTCCCTTCCTGACCACTCCCGACGGTCCGGGATAAGACATGGTCTCCCACGGGCGCTGCAGAGGCTGCCCGGCGTTGCCTCGTGCCTTTCCAACCCAGCGAGGAATCGGGGGTGTTTGCGTGTCCGACAGCACCGCTAGCTTGACTTCTGGGAAACAAGGCCCGGGGCGGACAGGTCGGGACGGGCCGGGACGGGTCGGGGCGGGTCGGAGCGGGTCGGGACGCGCAGCGGTGAGGGAGAACCCGCGCGGCACCTGGCGGCCTGGATATTCTGCGTCTTGCTCGATTTTACCTTTAACTTAGGTTTAAGCGCAAGCGTGACGAGCTGCTAGCACCCCGACAACTATGCCTCATTTCCGAGGCGCGGCCCCGGCGCCTGTCTACTCTGCGAGCCGGCGGGCGTGGGGGGCAGGCGCAGGGCTCCAGAGCCTCGGTGGGTCTACCAGGCTTTAGTGCTCCGTGGGGAACTGGGCGCCCCGCGCCGGGGCTGGGCGCAGGGAGGC